TCATCTCTACCAGTTTCTCTCCTTTTTCCTCTTGCCGAGTCTCCACAGCCCAGGCAGATCTGCCAGAGTGAACTAGTGCTAAGAAATGCTCTGGTGGCAACTGGCGAAGCTTCCCCAAGAATGAAATTAGACAGAGAAACGGAATTTTTGGCCCTTGAAACAGTTAGTGAGAAAGTTTAAGTAACAAGTTTTCAGGAGAGTGATGGAGACTAAGAACACATACGATTTATTATATAAAAACGCCACATCACTGGGAAGATAGGTTCGTGCTCCCTGCAGCTGTACTGGTGGAGGAGACTGCAGTTGGACAAAATGATGGGCTCTCATCTTACAAGGAGATTAACTTCTTCTAAAACTTTCTAGCTACCGAGTCTTATTCTAGCCTTTCGTGCTCAGGGCTTTGATCCCCAGTAACTTCGGGAAAAAAACGTTAAAGATGAGGCTGGATGGGCTTCTGCACTTGATTCTAGCTTTTGCTTTAAATTACAGAACATTATTAGTTCTGTAACAGAGTGCTGTGCGTTAAAGTGAATGTGGGTCCATGCCAAGATATGTGCAAACCCAAGCTCTTGATAGAGTTTTTACTAATATAATCAAGTTGCCAATCCTATGGGCTGGATTCAAATCCCGAATAGAAGAACTGGGTGTCCCTTAAGAAGAGACCAAGGAACAGCATTCATCAACAGCCATCACCAAGAGCATGGTCTACTTATTACCTTGATTTTGTACTGGAGCTCTCAAACTATGAAGAATCAGTTTCTGTTGTTCTAACACACCTAGTTTGTAGTCTTTCTACAAGAAATTCCTAATGAAGACTAAAGCACATGGCTCACCCTAACAATTTCACTTTTTTAAAAAGTCTCTTAGCATACCGTTATTTCACTTTTTCCCAAGGAATCTGCATTGTCATCCCCTTGGCTCGTGTGTCATAGAAGACACTTTTGCGAGTACTTTGGGGATTCCTTGGTTTTTCATTGATTCGGAATGCAGTAGGATCACTTATTTTCTAGTTCTCGGAATGATCTGGCTAACAAGTTAAAGGAAATAAAACAATTTTAGTTGATAATAAAGAACTAATCACTACCTTCTAAAGATAGGTACAGACAGGTGTGGTGGGTTCATGCCTGTGAATCCCAGCTACTCAGGAAAGTGAGATACGGAGGCCAGCCTGGACAAGAAGAAAAAAAAAAAGTGAACAAGATCTTACCCAAACAAGTTGGTGTAGTAACTATCTGAAAAATAATGAAAGCAAAAAAAGGACTGGGGGGGTGTGGCTTGGTGGAGAAAAAAAAATTAGATCCATAAAGGAAAATAAGACTTCTGAGTGATGGCTTTGGTTCTCTGCCTCATTTCATCCAGTCTCATGAGAATGAGAATGTGGGAACAGGAGATTAGAGACCACTGGGACGAATGGGAAGATGAGCTCCCTTATGGATGACAGAGCAACACTAAGAGGCCTAGCCAGTCCACTGAGCAGTCTAATAAATGTTCTGTAATTTAAGCAAAGCTAGAATCTACTGACAATGTGAAGCCAGAAAACAAGAAATTATGACCATGATTGGTAAAAGCTCTATTTGAATGAAAGGTTAAGATGGAATAACAAAATCAGTCTACTCAAAGCAAATGAGAAAACATCACTGACTACTATTGAAAGAAAGTACAGAACTGGACCTGGTAGTGCACACCTGTGCTCCCAGTCAGCACCTGGGTTGCCAAGGCAGGAAGATAGAGAATTTGAGGTCTTCCTGGGCTACATAGCCAGACTTTGTCTCAAAAAAAAAGAAAACAAAACAAAAAAGAAAGACTAAGTACAGAGTAATCACCAGGCCAGGGAAAAACTGGGAAAGAGAACTTTAAGCCACACTCCATGCTGCTTTCTCTTTATTTACTACACCTCGCTTAAGGGAACACTGAATGAGCATTCAGATTTATTCAACACATTTAATTTATACTCACCACTAGTAATTGTTTCCCAAGCAAGGCACGAGATGTGATGAGGAGCAGCCTAGACACACGTGGGTCTGCTTTTGTTTTTGCTTTTTTTTGGAGACAGGGTCTTGCTATGTAGCCCAAGTGAACCTTCAACTCATGATCCTCCTGTCTCAGCCTCCCAAGTACTGGGATTACAGAGCTGTGCCACCATGCCCACTGAGTCTGTGCTTTTTTTTTTTTTAGCATTACTGGGGCTTGAACTCAGGGCCTACACCTTGAGCCACTCCACTAGTGCATTCTTTTTTGTCATGGGTTTTTTTGAGATAGGGTCTTGAGAATATTTGCCTGGGCTGGCTTCGAACTCTATCTTCCTGATCTCTGCCTGCTTAGTAGTTAGGATTATAGGTGTGAGCCACCAGTGCCCAGCAAATCTGTGCCTTTTTTTGGGCAGTATTGGAATTTGAATTGTGGGCTTGAAGTGGTCTGCACCTGAGCCACACCCTCAGCCCTTTTTGCTTTAGTTATTTTTCATGTAGGCTCTTGAGTTTTTGTCCAGGTCAGCCTGGATCATAACCTGCCTATCTAGGGTCTCTTATATAGCTGGGACAACAGGTGCCACCACACACAGCTTCCTAGTTGAGATGGGGATCCACTAATTTTATTGCCTGGGCTAGCCTGCAACTGTGATCCTCCTGATCTCAGCCTCCTGCATAGCTAGGATTATAGGCATGAGCCACTGCACTAGGCCAAGTTTTGCTTTAGAAGAGCTTCGAGCAATGGTATGTTTCCGACCATCTGATACCATGAACAAATGTAAAAGGAAAGTTCACTAAAACTACCATTTTGGCACAAGTGGTAGCTCTTTTTCAGTTTGTACACTTCCATTCACCTGAGAGTCCAGGTTCCCACGGGCTCTCTTGTGCCTTCTCCTCCTTTTGGTGACATGGCCAACTGTTTCCTTTTTGGCTTGGTCCTGACTGTTAATCTGTATCTCAGTCTCACCACAGGAGAATGTAGCAGTTTGATTTTCATCCTGAAAAGAGAGAAAATAATCTGGCATGTTCTGTGTATATATATGCTAGCAACTGCTAGCCAAATCCGAAGTAACTCAAGTAGCTCAAGTAAAAATAAGGGCAAGAGGAGAATAAGAACATTTGCACTATCATAAACTAAAGGCAGAAAGTTATAATATGAAAACAGTATGGTCTGGAAACAGAACATCCAAAACAGATCTGCTTACAGAAATTACTGCATGAGGGGTTTGGCTCAGTGGCAAAGTGCTTATCTAGCTTCAGTAGGGCCCTGGGTTCAATCCCCAGTACCACAGGGGACAGAGGGAATTTACTGTATGATGTTTAGAGAGAAGGTTGTTTTCATTATTCACAATGTTAGGGATTTGCTGATGGCACATTCATTCATATTTACAGTGCTCATAGTAACTATCTTCTTCCTAAGAGAATTACACTACTTTAGTCATTCTGTTACATTTGTAGCTTTAAATAAACATTTAAATTTTTTTTTTTTTTTTTTTTTTTTGGTGGTACTAGGGTTTAAATTCAGGGCCTTGTGCTTGCTAGGCAGGTACTCTACCACTTTAGCCCTTGCAGTCTGCTAGCATCAGTCCTGTAAACTGCAGATAATGTGTATCCCTTTATACTTCTCAACTATTTTTTTCCTTTTAAAAAGGTCCTTTAACTTCAACTTGTCATTGATCTCTCTCCCCATCTTGTCCCTTCTCCCTTCCCTCCCTTTCTTTCTTTCAACAGTGCCTCAACTCTGTGGCCCAGACTGACCTCAAACTCACAGCTTCCTGCCTTTCTCTTGAGGGCTGGGATTATGGGCATGAGATACTGTACTAGGTCATCTGACTCTGTAACTATCCAAGTTAGTGACATTTATAGTCTGCACTATAAGCATCACTGGATCAGCTCTGGCTTTGGCTATCTAGCTTGATTCTAGGAGCTGGATTACTCAATAAATTAGTCTAAGGATTTCTTTTTTTCTTTTTTTTTTTTTAATTTTTCAGTTTTTTCTCTATCAGATCCATTTCCTTTAGGGCCACCCTTTCCAGATTATCTCAATCTCTCAGGTTGCAGGCTTTCCACAAATATCTGCTCATTGTAAGAAGCTCGAATTGTTAGGAGTGTGTTACCTGCAGGGGTCATCTACTAGGGTTCTTAGGTGGAGAGGAGGCCATTATGCCAAAGGTCCCTTGAAAACCCAAAGGCAGAGGGCAGCCTATGCCTGATGACCACATGGTTCCCTTACAGAGAAACCTTCCAATGTTTTAGAGGGTAGTGGACACCTGTACTGGCACTGGAAGTAGAGAGCAGACTACTTTGGTTTTTTTTTTGAAACTAAATACATTTTAATAGAAAACAAAATACAAAATAACTCTTTTCAGAAAACAGAAATATTTACTCCCCCCCACACTAGAATTTGCTTTTCTGGCGCATGTTTGATACATATGCTACGTGTGCTTGCTCACAACATATTCATTCGTGAGACTGGTGCTGCAGTGCGGGGTGGGGGTCATCACAGGAAGACACCAAAAGCCATGTTCATCTGAAACCCAACACTTCCTAAACCTATCTTGTGACTTATTCCAAATTACTCTTCAGCATAATCTTTTTACTTTTTTGGTGCTAGGGATCACACCTAGGGCTTCATACATGCTAGGCAAGTGGTGGGCAGACTACTTTGTAACCTGACATTCAGTCCATTTCACTCTGGACCTTACTCCCTGATAATCTATTTAGTCCGCCTAGGGTTTGATGAGATCTACATATTAGTATCTTAATTAAATTAAACTAATCACACTATGATGGTTGCACCGCTCAGCAGATGCAATCATGAAGAGATCCATCATCTGTCTGATGTATCTGGGATAAAAAAAATTAAACTTACTAATTAATTTTGGTGGGACTGGGGTTTGAACTCAGGGCTGCACACTTGCAAAGCAGGTGCTCTATCACTTGAGTCACACCTCCTGTCCATTTTGCTCTGGTTATTTTGGAGACGGGGTCTTGTGAACTATTTCCTGGGGCTGGCCTTGAACTTTGATCCTCTCGATCTCTGACTCCCAAGTAGCTAGTATTACAAGTGTGAGCCTCTGGCACTCAGCATATCAGTACGTTTAAAAAGATTCCTGAACGATTCTCTCATACACCCTAGGTTAAGAACCACAATGTAAGTATGTTATGGACTGTGGGTGCAACTCAGATGACAGAACACTTGCCTAGCAAATGTAAGGCCCTGAGTTCAATCTCCAGTAACACACACACACACACCCCAAAACAACAAAATGTATGCTGGGAATAAAATAATAAAGCAGCCAGGCATGGAAGTCCATGCCTGTAATCCCAGCACTCGAGGGTCCACAACCAGCCTGGAATATACTGCAAGTTCCAGGCTGGCCTGGAAAACTTTAGACAGGATAGAAGTATTGCAGCACAAGTGGTGTAGGGTACAGGCTAAGCTGAAAGAGCTGGATGGCTGATGAAGAGCAGAAGCTAGGGCACTGGGGCTAAGGAACAGAGGCAGGGAGTGCCACCAAGAAGGGCCTTTGAACTCACCCAGAGCAAGGTGAGGATGAAAGGCAATGGAGACAATGAAGCCGGGAACATCAGAAAGCAACTGGGAGTGAGGCACTGAGTTCAAACCCCAATACCCACCCCCAAAGTAGAAAGCAGCTGAGAGGCAGAGAGGAGGAAATTGGATTTTCAGTTACTTTCACAGCCGCTACTCCACTTGATTCTCAAAACACTCAATTCAGCAAAGCAGATATTATTCCATCTTAAAGAAGTGTTCAAGTTTTCCAAGGTCACAAAGAAATGAGAACTGCTACTTAACCTGTGTTTCTCTGCTTCTATCATGCTATCTTTTATGACATTTGACAACTTGTATTTAACTTTTGCATTTTTTTTCCTTTGGTGGGACTGTGTTTTGAACTCATAGCTTCATGTGGTACTGCTTGAGCCAAACCTCCAGTCCTAACTTTTGCATTTGTTTAAGGATATCTTATTCAGTAGATTACATGGAATTTACAACATTTGTGACAAAATTACAAAAAGATTCAGTATCTGGCACTATTACCAATAATGATCTCTGTGCTAATAAAGATTTCATAAACCATCATTAATTGGTACTAATTGCTCATTAACTAAACACTGTAAACTAATAATAGGTGATAGGACACATTACTCACCTGATTCTTACTTCCTTTTCTTGCTTCCAATTTGAGGTGTGCTTTCAAGGCTTTTAACAACTTGTCTGCCTGCAGAAGAGATCTTACATTAGAGCCAAAAGTCAAGTAAGCAAGAAAGATATGCTGAATATTTTTTTTTGCTGTTCTTTGTGTTCATTAATGTATTCTGGTCAGGCCGGAGGACTAGAACAATGCTTGGATAGATTTGGTTTCTGACCTCAGGGATTTCACACCCCAATGGGAAAGCCAGAAAAAGAAAAAGAGGACTGTGATACAGTGAGGTAAGTGCCACAAAGAAGCACTGGCTGGTGTGGGCTTAGACATCAATGTTTGGACTGTGAAGGTAGACTTAGACATGCCAGTTCTAAGCTAGATGTCCTGACTGAGATCTGCTGAAAGGAGAGGAGAGTTGGACATAGAGAACATAGGAAGGAAATGGCATAAGAAGGCACCAAAGGTGGAGTTTGAAGAACTAAGTTTGATGTGGCTGGAGCTGTTGGATGGGATGGCAAGACAGAAAAAGTGGAGAAAGTGGGCACTGATCTTGCAAGACTTGCCTTGTAAGCCTCTTAAGAGTGTGAACTTGGGTCCATCACTGGAGGCCCAAGTAGTTGCACCTATAGCCTAGCTACTTTGGAAGCTGAGATCCGGAGGATCACAGTTCAAGACCAACCTAGGCAAAAAAGTTAGCAAGATCCCCATCTCAACCAACAGCTGGGTGAGGTGGTGTGTACCTATACGGGAACCACGTGGTCATCAGGCATAGGCTGCCCTCTGCCTTTGGGTTTTCAAGGGACAAATGGCAGTCTCTGAAGAACTGGCAGCAGGGCGGCAAGTGAGCAATCAGTTTTGCATCACTCCAAGGAACACTGTTTTCCTGTGCTTTAAAATGTCAAGCGTATTAACTGGTTTCTCTTTTCTTCCTCTTCCACATAGCCTCGTTGAAACCTAGAGATTTTCTTTTTCAGGTGGGCTCGGCCACTGAGCTTGGCTCTTCTCATACCACTTTTATCACTGGCCTCGTGCTCAATGAGGAATAGCACAGATTCTGAAGTTTGGTTTGGGCTTTGAGGTACAGAAGATATTTTGCTTACAGTTTGAGCATAAGACATGTTCTCCCATCCATCCTATTAGAATGCTATGCATCAAGATATCGGGCACATCCCAGCTAGTTATAAAGTCGCACCTTATTTCCTACTTGAACCTCTCTTAGGGGCTTCTCTGGGAAGGGGGGAACTGGCGTGGTACAAGCCAGGCATTCTCGATTCTGTGACTTCTTTTGTTGTTGTTTGTTTGTTTTTTGAGATGGGATCTCACTATGTAGCCCAGGTTGGCCTCAAATTTGCAATCCTCCTGCCTCAGCCTCCCAAGTGCTGGGATTACAGGCATATATTGTCACACTATGCTACCCTTCCCTAATAGACCATGAAAACTTCATCAAACATCTAACAGTGATGAAGTGAGGTGCCTGAGGCAGAGCCAAGTGAGGACATCTAATAGGTTAAGTAACATGGGGTGAAGCTCAAGAACTGTCGTACAAGTAGGATGTCAGTTATCAGCACTTATTCACATATACCTTCAGCAGCATTTATTGTGCTGGGCACTGTTCTAGGCACCAGAGACTGGTGAACGGAATGATGTCTCTGCTCTCCAGGGGCTTACAACAATGGACGAGTGGGCAAATGGCCTAGTAACCAAGTGAGCTAGAAATAAATGAAAGAGGTGCTATGAAGCAAAACCCAAATTGGGTGACTAATGTGGGATGGAGGTGCTACCTGAGTTAGGATGGCAATCAAAGGCCTCTCCAAAGTGGTGACAAGCTGAGATGTAAATGAAAGAAGAGGCAGCAGGTGACACTATGGTAGGGGCAGAGCATTCCAAGCAGAGGGAACACCAAATCCAGAAGTTCTAATATAATTTGATGAATTTGAAGGAAATAAAAAAGTCAGCATGGCTAGAAAGTGGTACACTGGGGTGAGTACAGGGGAGGGAGATCAAAGAGGCTGAGCAGAAGGAACCAGAGTCTGGGTCACGGGGAGAGCTACAAGCCACAGCAGAGTATTGATTCCTTCCCCCTAACTTGTCATTAGAAAAATGTCAGGCCTGCAGAAAAATCCAGCTGGAACGATGTTTCACAACTGAGTTTCACAACAAGGACTTGCATATTCCACATGTACTGGGCACTGTTCACACAAATCAGACCTGCAGTGCTATGATTTTATAGGAGTGTTATCAGTTTCAGAGCTGGGAATAAATTCAAAACAATCTGCTTCCATCAACCCTTTGGTAATTCATGTGCAGCAAGATAAATATGGAAATACAGAGTATACAGTTAAAAACATATATAGTAATTTGACAGCAGTTTTATCTATTACATATTAAAAAAAAACCTTGGAGATTGAAGATTGAACAAAAAAAGAAGAATCCAAACAGTATAATAAACACTGATAGCCACCACCTAGATTCAAAAATCATCTTTATGACTGCTCTATTAATATATATTTCTTAACAACCTATTTGAAATTTAGTTCGAAACATCAAAATCCTTTTCCTCTAAACACATAAACTACATCTCCTAAAACTAAGGGAGAGAATTTTCCCACATAACCTCTAATGCATTATTTTACCTGGGTAAGTAATAATTTCCTAGGATTATTTAGTACATGGCCCTACTGAAAATTCCTCAATTGTAAGTTGAGGGAATTGTCTAGTTGTTCACTTCTAAAAAATTATGATAAAACTGAATGGCTTGCATTACGTTTGGAAGAATTTGAATTTTATTCTGGATGTGAAGAAGTCCCTGGAGGGCACTGAGCAAAAAAATGACATGCCTACGTTTCAAATTCAAATACCAATTTGACTACCAAGAGAATACTGTTCTGAGGTGAGAGAGGCAGAAAGCTTGGTAGACAGCCTGAAGTACAGTCCTCAGAGGAGAGTGTTGTGGCTCAGAGTTACAGCACTGGAGGTTGTTCTCAGGTCAGATCTCTCGTGTACTTGGGAGGAAGTGCTGACAGGATGGGTGACTGGGTATGGGTGGCAAAGGGAGGAATCAAGAGTGATTTATTTGGGCTGGCTTTGTGGCTCAAGTGATAGAGTACTTGCCTCAAAAATACAAGGACCTGAGTTCAAACCCACCACCACTAAAGCAAGAAAGAAAGAAAGGGAAAGAAAAAAAGGTGGTACACTTTAGTAGGTCTGACCATTTACTGAGACTGGGAAGAGATAAACAATATCTGGAAGATAAACTTAAATAACAAGTCAGCAGCTCAGGAAAGACATGGCTTTGGGAGGCATTAGCTTCTAGATGAAATCAAAGTTAATGCAAGTAGATAAATCACCAAAACTGAGTATACAGATAAGAAGCCAACCAGAGAACCCCAGGGCACTCCACATTTAGAGATCAGGCAGAGGAAAGACCAGCCAACGAGACTAGAGAGAAGTACAGGAGAAAATAAAAAAAACAAAAAAAACCCCACAAGTCTAGAAAAGTGGTTTGAGCAAAAGGCAGTGTTCAAACATGCCAAATGCTGCTAATAGTCAGGGGCGAGGACAGAGATGGACCACAAGTTTGCTAGGACAGTGACCTCAAAATGTTCACTTTCAATAGAAAAGAACAGAAACAGGGTAACAAATGGGAGGGAGACAAGGGTCAAGAAAGCTTTTTGTTTCTTTTTTTAAGTTCATGCCATTTATTAATCCACACACAATTACTTGTCCTCTGCTTTTTTGAAGCAGTAAGTCCACAACACTTGTTACAATAATGTCTGTCAAAGCAGCTAGCCATAAAAACTCCAGTATCACATTTATCTGAAGGGCAAGCATAATGAAGGTGACTAATTTTGCCATGTTTGCCTACCTTAGAGTATTTCAGGACAGCCAGTTTAACCTTTCTCCTATGCTTATTCTTCTTGGGAGTGGGATAAGATGTCTTCCTTTCCTTAGCACCATCGCAAAGTCTTAACACTAAATGAAGGTGGACTCCTTTTGAATGTTGTAGCCTGACAAAGTATGTCCATCTTCCAGTTGCTAACCAGCAAAGGTCAGTCTTTGCGGCTCAGGAGGAATTCTTTCCTTACCCTGGATCTTGGCCTTGACATTTTCTATAGTATCTGAGGTACAGCATGATGGTTTTCCCCATGAAGATTTAAAAAAAAAATTTTAATTGAAAAAAAATTTTTTTTTCTTTTGGTGGTACTAGGGTTTGAACTCAGGGCCTCATGCTTGCTAGACAGGCATTCTACCACGTGAGCCACTCCTCCAGTTGTTCCCTGTAAGGTTTTTTATGAAAATATGCATCTTGATGGTAGTTCTACTGCAGTTGATAGATCAGAAAGGGCAAAAGTATTATTATTACTATTTTTTTTTTTGTGGCATTGGGGTTTGAACTCAGGGCCTACACCTTGAGCCACTCCACCAGCCCTTTCTTGGGATGGGTTTTTTGAGATAGAGTCTCCCAAACTATTTGCCCCAGCTTCAAACCTCAGTAGGATTATGGGCATGAGACACTGACTCCCAGAGAAAGTATTTTTTAAAGATGGGTAATAGTAAGACATGATTTCATACAATACAGAAATGAGCCAGAAGAGTGGGAGAAAGTGATGGAGAAGGGAGGATCCAATTGCAGAAGTGTAGCCCTAGAGGAGGCCTGAGGGCCCAGGATCCTCAGCCTAAGAGGAAATGTTGCCAACAGGTACATGCCTTTTACTATGACCTGAGGGAGGGCAGAGCATGGGGATAAAGTTTGGTAGTGGAAAGATGAGGTAATTTTCAATTGATGGCATCTATTTTCCCATGACTTGAGGAAAAGTCATCAAGAGAGGGAAGGAAGCCAATTTGAGGTGAAAACACAGAAAACAATTTTCCTCAAAAGTGAAAAAGTATGCTTCTGAGTTCAATCCCCAGTACCACTCAAAAGTGAGAAAGTTATGATCACTAAGTACATACAGGAGAATCAAATGCCCATTTTAATTTTTTTCAGTCAAATTTAAAATAAGTTCAGTAAACAAAGTTGGATGATTTTCTTCCCCAGTCAGGGTCAGCTGTATGAGTACAGGCAGATTAAATGCATAGCTTGGTTTAATCAGCATTGGATTTTGCCAGTGAATACAGGGTGATGCAAAAAAGCAGAAATAGTGTCCTCTTTGTAATTTAAGCTTGTAAGAAGGGAAGACAGCATGAGTGAGAACAGGACCAGTAGCTTCAAGTAAATACTTGTACCTGCCTCTTTCCTTTTTGTTTTACCATGCAAGGATGTATCTCAAAGCTGTGTTCTCTCCTCTAAAATTTATTTTAAATTATATACATATAATTTAACCACATATATAAAATCTTCTCTCTCCCCTCCCTTCCCTTCCTCATACTGGGGTTTGAATTCAGGGCTTCAGGTTGTGAGGCAGGTGCTCTACCACATTGACCCATTTGTAGAGCTATAATACTGGTGAAATTCTTTAAAATTATTTTTCCCCTTTTTTTGTGAGGGGAGGGAAATACTAGGATTTGATCTCAAGACTTTACACTTGTTAGGCAGGCACTCTACCACTTGAGCTACATCCCCAGTCAATTCTGTTAAGTTTTAATCAAATATTGATAATTTATTATTTTTTGCTCTTGCTCTGTTCCAACAGTAAGTAGTTAAAATATTATGGAAAAATCTCAAATATACACAAAAGTACAGAGAATTAGGACTTGGGGGTGCCTTCTTCAACTGGTAGGCCATCTGCTTAGCAAGCAGTACCGCCAAAAATAAAAAAATACAGAGTATAGTGTGATGAATCCCCATGTATCTATCACATTTCAATTGTTATCAACATTCTGCTGTTCTTACTTCATCTAGAGCCCTCCCCTCATTTTCCTGATGCATTTTACAGCAAATTTTATAGGCATCCTAACATTTCACTTGTAAATACTTGATACACGTTACTAAGAGTTAAGGATTTAAAAAAAACCCATAACCATAATACCAACAAAATAGCCAATATAACTTAATATAATTTAATACCTAACCCAATCTTAATTTTTCTTTAGTAATCTCAAAAATGTTACAGTTGATTATAATATGACTATGATATGATCAGGTCTGTGAGGAAATATACATTCCAACAAGTATTTGTCGACACCTACAATATGCCAAATATATGCTAGGCGTGTAACTGGAGGAGGGGTCCTGTACTGAGAGGACATACCCTACCTCTAATAAACAGTAATGGATTGACTAGACCCGATCAAGTGCCTCAGAGGCTGATGAGCAGGACTTAGAGAAAAGAGCTAACTTGCATTAGCTCTTCAGATCCAATAGATGTGGGGCCTAACAATGGCCAGCACTCTGAGCTCAGATGAGAAGCCTCCACATAACGCTCCTGCCACCAGAACCACCTTCTGCGGGTTATTCTAGCGCCGCTAAGAAACAGCTCTAATGTGGACTCCTGAGTTACTATCCAGCGTCTTCTAGTAAAATGTACTGCGCCTAGAGCTGTAAGGACTTCCCACGTGAAGGGGTGAAATCAATACTTGAGGAAGTTATCTTCTGGTGGAGAAAATGATACAAACGCACAAATAATCAGATCGCAGGATGGGAAGCCAGCAAATCCTCAGAGAGCACTTGAAAATAAATTCCTCTAAAAGCACAGAGAGGGTTCCTGGGATTGCTGGGAGTGGTGGACCTGTGGCCAAGAGAATGAAGGAAAGGGAAAGAGGCCCCAAGACGACGACATGTCAGTTAAGAATTTGAAGAGCAACAGCAAATCTTTCCTGCAGATGATGGAGACAGAAGGAATGTAAGGCACAATGACAGGTAAACTGTGCCAAACTGTTTAGGGACGCAGCCTTGGACGAAATTCCAACCAGGATGGGCGTGGTGGTCCATGTCTGCAGTAAGAGCACGCAGGGGAGGCAGGAGGATGGAGAGAGTTGGAAGTCAGCCTGGGCTAGCTAGCAAGATCCTGTTTCAGAAAGATTCCAGTCAGATAGCAAAAAGCCTAAGGGATTTAAGTTAAGGAATTAAGCTTCATTTGTGAAGTATTAAACACTATAGCCCAGGAACATTCCTTTCTCATTCAGGTCGAGGGATACCTCGACCTGGTCTATCCTGCTTAAATCATTCCTATGACCGATTGGACATTCATTCACTATAAATATCGCAGCTTGCAGCATAAATCTCCTTAGTATACATTAGAAGTTATGTGGAAAATCTCAAGCACAATATATAAAACGCCAATCCCATATTCAATACGCCATCTCCCAACACCTTACAACACCGCAAAGACCTAACTAGTTTTGCGCAAGAACACTTCAACAGTGATCAATAAACGGGCAATCATACTAGATCAGGGCGGAGCTATAAAAATGTATCCGCAGGGGTGATCATTCTTTCTGCCAGGTCTCCCAGTAAAGTACCAAGAGATTACGGGCTACTTCGGTTGTCTAAGCACCGGCACTAGGCACAACATCCCTTAGGCTTTCTGGGCCTGCGTTTCCTAATTGATACCCTGTGAAGTAGAATAATTACTTCCAATAAAGCCAAACCAACCAACCCTTTTGCAGCAGAGAGCTATTGGGCTGCCCCTCCCCCACCCTCGAAAAGTCAGCCTCAAAATAAGGTGACGACTAAGGCTCTCTTCCGTTTAGCGAGTTTAGCCCCATGAACCAAATCTACTGGCCCGGTTATGGGGCGCTACCTTAACCTTGAGAAGGGCTCCGTCCCTTCTCGGCGCGTCCCCCCGCCCGCCCAACGGCCGGCCCCGCCAGCCCCATACCCTCAGGTTAGCCCGGAGGCCCAGACTCTTGGCTAAATTCTGCAGGTCACTGTACTTGAAGGAGTCCAGCTCCTCCGCGGAGGGGACCGTCATCACGTTCTGCAACCCAGGTAACACTCAGAAGATTGAAATTAAGCAGCGCGGGTCAAACCTCTAGCACCACTCTAAGCGTTAGCCCAGAGGCACAATATATTCAGTTTAAATGAAGAACGCTGCATGTCCATTGGTTGAAAATGCCTTGAAGGCGGGGTTTCTGACTCTAACCAATAGAAAGGTTGATTCCCGGCAGACGCACGGCTCTTCTTCATGCCTCACCAATAGGCAGTCGCTGAAAGGTGCGTGGGGCGTGCCCAGACGCACCTTATCCAATGAGGACGTAGAAACCATGCTTGGGGCGGGGCCTGGTGTGTGTTCGAAATAGGCGCCCTCAGCAGGAAAATGGCGGCCAGAGCACAGCGGTATCACACCCGTTGTGCAAAGCATTCCCGAGATGACTTTTGTGAGGGCACTAAGAAGGCGATTGACGAACCTTCTATCACGACTTCCATGGAGTGGGACACGCAAGTGGTGAAAGGGTCCTCGCCGCTTGGCCCAGTGGGGCTGAGGACGGAGGAACTCCCCGCCAGCCCACCGCTGCCGTCGTGGCTGCAGCCGGAGAGGTGCGCCGTGTTCCATTGCGCGCAGTGCCACGCGGTGCTGGCGGACACGGTGCATCTAGCCTGGGACCTGTCGCAGTCCCTTGGGGCCGTGGCATTCTCCAGTAAGTCGGGGGAGGCGGAGACGGGCGCGAGGTGGCCTTGCCGCTTTTCCCACCGGCTGGCGCAAAATTCGCGGGGAGAAAAGGAGCAGAAGATTTGGAAGGAAAGTGGCCCGTTAGCCCGGGGGATGCGGCCGAGGGGTTTTTGCTTAATTCCCTAGCAGCTGGGCGTCCAAAGCAACCGCAACCCGGTGCGTGAGCCTGCGTGGCGGGCGGGAGGCGCTCCTTTTCGATATCCCCGGAGGTACCGGTTCTGACCCGTGTCTGTCTTCCCAGGAGTCACGAATAACGTCGTTTTGGAAGCGCCCTTCCTGGTGGGCATTGAAGGTTCGCTCAAATATAGGTACGTGCGAGAATTCCGGGGGGTCAGTGACACTAGGAACTGATGTGGACGGGGACAAAACGGCTAATGCTCCCATGGCGCGATGGAAGTTTATTGCAAGCTCGCCGGGTGCTGAATGATGACACGCGGTTGGCTCTGGTATGAACTTCGTGGATTGTAGGAAAATGAACAAAATTAGATTTGGGTGGAGGTTTTAGGAAGGGTCTGTGATGTGATGTGTCTAGTGCCTAGTGATGGAGAAAATAATTTTTTGGTTTGTAGTGAGAGTACTTATGAATTATGATCCTTTGAGATAACTAGGACTTTGAAGTTGGCATTTAACGTGAAATTTGTAATAAACTATGGTAGGACTAATTCTGTAGAAATCCCAGAAACTGGGGAAAAACACAGAGTACTTGAGTACTGTCTCGTAAACTTTGCATCTTGCCGGTGCTATGACTTACAAGTGAAGTAGAATACTCAGCAGATTATTATAGAAAGACTCCAAATTTTGAATATTAGCTTTAACAGGAAGACAGTTCATTCGATCATAGTTTACATAAAGTATAGGGATTCTTAGTTGCTTTGCTGGGGGAACAGGAAGCGTTCTGCAGTTTAAACAAACTTAAGTTAGATCCATAGCTCCCTTCCTCTTTCACGATTGAAAAGACACCCACCTCCCTATCCCTGCAGTAGTCCCCATCCCTACCAAGGGGACAGAGAGGAAAGCAGTGGTGCTCTGCTTGGATTTGGGTGATTCGGAGGCAGAGACAGAAGCTCTCTGAATCTCTTCCTAGACAGCAACACAGTGCATGTAGACCGGTGCTGTCCAAAATTATAACCAGTAGCCATACGTGATTATAAAGATGTGGTCATTCTGAATTGAGCTATGTAGTGAATGCAACACACAAAGTTTGGTGTGAAAAATTAATATATGTTTAATATTGATTACGTGTTGAAGTGACATTTTTAACATTGAGTTACATAAAATTTCTTAAGACTTGTTTTACTTTAAGCTGTACTGGGGTTTGATCTGAGAGCTTTAAGCTTGCTAGACAGACGTTTTACCACTTGAGCCACACCTCCAGTCCATTTTGCTCTGATTATTTTGGTGATGGGCTCTCAAGAACCACTTGCCTGGGCTGGCCTTGAACAGTCATCCTCCCGGATCTCGGGCTCCCAAGTAGCTAGGATTACAGGAGTGAGCCACTAGTGTTTTTATTTTTTTTAAACAAGTATTTTAAATTACATATGTGGAGTTGGGATGTGGCTCAGAGGTAGTGTTTACCTAGTTTCAATCTCTAGCACCACAAGAAAAAAACATAAGAGTGAAATAGAGTACACATGTAACTCACATAATACTGTAGTTGCTTTGTAAGACCCTGGAGAGAAAGCCTCATGTTTATCTGTATTTGCGAGACTTACAGAGAAGGTTATGCAGTGGCACAGCTTAAGATACTTCAATTTGTGTTTTTTGTAGTGCTGCCCGTTGTTGTTTTTTATATAAGAGCATATGTATTCATTACTTAGATGGAATTAGACAATGGATAAAGAAGTTGATTATTGATGCAGCTGAAAGAGCATAAATTTTGGAGTGAAGAAACATGTTCTTTTACCTTGACCTTTTTTTTTTTTTTTAATGGTGGTACTGGGGTTTGAACTCAGGTCCCTGAGCTTGCTAAGCAGACACCCTCCCCTTGAGCCATACCCCCAGTCCGTTTTGCTTTTCGTTATTTCTGGAATGGGGGAAAAGTAAAAGTGATAATTATATGGTCTCATAGGGTCAGAAAAAGAACTTTATTTACTGCTACTTCCCATAAGTTACATTGGATATTTATCTTCCTAATAAACTTATACCCAGGCTGTCCTGGACTGAGACTTCCTATTTATGCTTTCTGCCGAGTTGGGATGACAGGTAGGTGCCAACATGCTCAGTTATTGGTTGATATGGGGGTCTCACTAACATTTTGCCTGGGCTGGTTGCTTTTTGTTTATTTTTTAGGTAGGGTCTCACTTTTGCCTAGCCTACCTGGGATCATGATCTTCGCATTGATTCCTCCTGGATAACTGGCATTACATGTGTGAAACACCATGCCTGCTTGTTTGTTGAGATGTGGATCTCATTATTTTTGCCCAGGCTGGCCCTCAACTGTGATCCTCCCAAAGTAGCAGTGATTACAGATGTGATCCACCATGTCTGTGGTTCTGTTTTTTTTTTTGGCAGTACTGGGGCTTGAACTCAGGGCCAGAACATCAAGCCTCTCCGCCAGACCTTTTTTGTGATGGATTTTTTCAAGATAGGGTCTCACAAACTATTTGCCCAGGCTGGCTTTGAACTGTGATCCTCCTGATCTCTGCCTCCTGAGTAGCTAGGATTACAGGCGTGAGCCACTGGCACTGACTCTGTTGTTCTTTTGTGGTATCTATTGACGTGAATGTGTTTCTTTCTAGGCATGTGTGGTTTTTTGGTTTTTTTGAGACAGGATCTTGCTAAGTAGCCCATGTTGGCCTTAAACTCATAATCCTGCCTCAGCCTGCTGAGTGCTGGGGCTATAGGTATAAAGCACCATGCTCAGCAGGAGAGGCTACTGTTTTTGTTCTCTGATTTTCCTTCTTATCTTTTTCTGTTTTTTCCCCCCAGCACATACAACCTTTTATTCTGCAGTTCTTGTGGGATTCCCATTGGCTTCCATCTGTATTCCACCCATGCTGCTCTGGCTGCTTTGAGAGGTCATTTCTGCCTTTCCAGTGATAAAATGGTGTGGTAAGTAGATGTTGATAATGTTTATCAAAGAAATTTAAAAAAAAAAATCTTCTAGGGGGGCGGGGACAGGGGAGAAGAGGCCCAAACAATGTATACACATATGAATAAATGTATAAACAATTTAAAAAAGAAAAAAAATCTGGGAAGAGAAAATGTCTGTACTAAAGGCGGTGCTAAAGGCAGTGCTGTCTTACAAAAAAGCAGTGGAACCAGAACATAACCTGTAACATTATTATCGTTTCAGATGTCTTCTTAGCATACTGTGTCTTGATAGTCATATCATAATTCAAAAGGGATTCTTTCATTAAAGAAAATTCTAGAAGGTATGCTTTTTTGCATAGGCACGCTCTCTGCTTTTCCACTTCTCACTACCATAGGGTTGGACTCTGGGCCATGACTGTATCATGTATTCCTAGGTATAGGATGTGCTCCTGCTGCTTGAGCTACTTTGCCAGGCTTTTTTTGTGATGGGTTTTCTCAACATAGGGTTTGATGGACTATGCCTGGGGCTGGCTTCGAACTGCCATCCTCTTGCTCTCTGCCTCCCAAGTAGCTAGGATTAAGGTGTGAGCCACTGTGCTAGGGTAAAAAATACATGATGTCACTTTTTTTTTTTTTTTTTGGTAGGACTGGTGTTTGAACTCAGGGTTTCACACATGCAAAGCAGGCACTCTGCTAATTGAGCCAAACCTCCAGTTCTGGGTTTTGTTGTTGTTGTTGTTGATATTTTGTTTTGTTCTGTTTTATTTTGGTGGTACTGGGGTTTGAATTCTAGGCCTCATGCTTGTTAGGCAGGCATTCTACCACTTGAGCCACTCTTCTGGCCCAAAATTCTTTTTTGTTGTTGTTTTGTTTCCTTTTGTGGTGCTAGGATCAAACCTGGGGCCTTGTACACAATAGGAAAACACTCTGCTTCTGAACTACATTCCCAGCCCTCTCTGAGTTCTTACACATAAGAAAACCTGGGCTCAGAGATGTGGAGGAACATTTGAATCCCTGAATTCAAGCTTATTTTCCTTTCATTAAAATATAATGAAACACCAGCTGGGCGCTGGTGGCTCACGCCTGTAATCCTAGCTGCTTGGGAGGCTGAGATTGGGAGGATCAGCCTCTGCAAATGGTTTTGGATACTCCATCGCCAAAAAAATAATCAGAGCAAATGAACTGGAGGTGTGGCCCAAGTGGTAGAGCACCTGCTTTGCAAGCTTGAAGCCCTGAGTTCAATCCCCAGTACTGCCCCCCTCCAAAAAAACTTTCATTTTTTTTCATTTGATGTACTTAGTTGTATGTAATTGAATGTGGTTAACAAAACAATAAAATAGGTAAAACCCATCCTTTATCATGAGGCTGTTCAGTGTGCGTTAAGTATACCATTTTCCCTTTATTGTAGATTTCCAACAGGAAATATATACTTCAGATGAAACAATATTTTACTTTCTAGTTTCTTTTAAAGTAATTTCTATTTAGAATTTAAAGAGAAAAGTATCTCTAAATGTATGCTATTATTAACCTCAAATCATTTTTTACTTAGGTTTTTTTATGGCTCTGAGGATCAAACCTTAAGTCATTTTTAAAAATAAGTGTGCCTCAGAGGAGCCATAATTGAGATTTTGCTGAAGAAGTAAGCTTTCGGTAATACAAACTTCTGTCTTTTATTAAAAAGCATAGTGAGTCTTTGATTATTATCATGATCTTGAAAATGAGGAGTTGAGTCAAAGGTTAGTTCATTCATTTTGATTAAATAGAAAATTAGGGAAGTATAGGTAGCATGAATCTGGCAATGTGATGAATCTTTGTGTCTGTTAGAATAAATTTGTTTGCTAGTAACAGAAAATCTGACTTATCAGTGGCTTTAACAAGAAGAGGGGGTGGTTGGCTGCTCCAGGAGTCTTCTGTTGGCTCAACCATGATAAATCTCTGGGTCAGCATCTCTGCTTCTCTTGACATTTTCCTCTTTGATACAGGATGGCTGGTGCAATAATAAACATTACATCTACTGATGGTAGTGTACTCAAAGGGAAGGAAAAGGATACGGGAGTATGGGAACAAAAACACGTCTCCTTTTCTCAGCAGAAAATTTCCTTGTTCTGCAAATGGTCAGAACCATGTCACATGATCACTTTAAGTTGGAAGAGCAAATATGTGACAATAGACTTGTCACAGTTGATTTGGAACAGTTATGATTCAACTGCTGGGACAGGCACACAGCTGTTGTAGACAAAATCTGGTTTCTGTTGGTAAGATTGTAGTTAGGAATGGCTAGGCAACCAACAGTATTTGTCACAACGTGATTACTTTCCTTCAAACTGTGCTGCAGGATCTACTGGTAGCGTGAAGCCAATACTCATGATTTTCATACATGACATGGTTTTTGTCTTCAATTTGTCCTGGGATAATTTTGTCTCTGGGAATGGGTAAAACTGAGGCACGATGTCTCTCTGGTGATTTGTGTACTGAGAATTTGTTTTTCCAACAAAATAAACCATAAGTCATGAAATGGAGATGATTAAGGTGCCATATATGTTTGAGATGGTAAGTTTGGTTCACTGGTAATCTTAAATGGGGTATGGTAATAATATTTCCTCTCTGTATTTTCCATCTAGCTATCTCTTAAGAACAAAAGCCATAGTAAATGCATCTGAGATGGATATTCACAATGACCCTCTACCAGAAAAGATAGCAGAGGTAAAATTTTTGTGATAGTTGTGTGCTTCCTTTAATATGACCAGTTTTTTTTTAAATGGTGCTGGAGGATTGAATCCAGATCCTTGTGCAAGCTAGGCAAGTGTTCTACCTCTGAGCTGTATCCCCAAACCTTAATAGAGACAACTCTTGATAATTTGTACCAGGGAACTCGAGGATGGTAAAATGGTTTGATATCCTTATTTATACAGAAATCAAGTACTACAGCCACATCATAAGGTCTAGTGTAGGAGAAGGGAAGCTTGCTTTCTACTACATTCCTGAATTCTTTATGCTGGAATGGACATTATTACATTACATACAGCTGTCCTTTTTTTTTTTTCTTATGGTGCTGAGATTTGAACTCAAGGCCTACACTTTGAACCACTCTACCAGCCCTTTTTTTCTTACTGGTTTTTTCAAGATAGGGTCTTGCTTTGAACTGCGATCCTCCTGATCTCTGCCTCTTGAGTAGCTAGGATTATAGGCATGAGCCACTGGTGCCCAGCTAGCTATCCTTTTTTGAAAGTAACTTATAACCAAGGAAAGAGTGGTAAAATTGTTGTTTGTTTGTTTTTTGTGAGGCAGGGGTGAAAATTGAACCCACGATCTTGCACATGCTTTGCCACTGAGCTATATTCCCAGCCCAAGAATTCTTATTTATTTAATTTTTCTATTTTGTTTTATTTATTTGAGACAGGGTTTTGCTATATGTAGCCCACGCTAGGCTGGGCTATCTTCCTGCCTCAGCTTTCTTAGTGCTGGGAATTGCAGGTGTATACTACCACATACAGATAAAAATTCTTTTTAAATGGGTTTATGGCTTTGAGTTGAAAAAAGCAAATTTTTGATAGTTTACTGACTGATTCATTCTATGAATAATTTTGGAAGAACAACCTTAGAATGTCCTGTTGATTTCAATTTTATTAGTGCTAATACTTTATTCTTTGCAAAATAACACATTTAAAAACCATTGACATTGTTTTTCAAAGTTTAATATTAGTAAACCTAAGCATAGGAAAACAGTGATTTTTTTTTTTTTTTCTGTAAAGGTATAAGAGCATGTACTAAGCCAGGAGTTGGCAAGCTTTTTTTGTAAAGGATTAGCTGACATCTTTTAAGCTTTGTGAGCATGGGGTCTTACTTACAACACTGTGCCATTCTATTGCAAAAGCACTCATAGGAAATATATCAACAAATGCTCACAGCTATGTTACAATAAAACTATTTGCTAAAAGGGGCAGCAGGTTTAGCCCATAGTCCATAGTTTATTAATCCCTATTCTAAGCAAGTGAGTTGAGACAATTAGTAAATATTGTGCTCAAAAATAAATGGCGTCAGATTGGATTTTGGAATTTGGCCATGTTAGAAACAGCACAGACCTACTCCATGCAGCTGAAGAAAATTATAAAGAAAACAACTATCTTTAGTGGTGACTTTCTTCAAGGCATACAGTAAGTGGAGATACAAGAATTTAAGAAAATCTGTTAGACACTGGGTAAGAGCACTGAGAGTCTGTGTCATTTGAGCCACAACAACTAACTGTCTCCTACCCTTCCAGCTTGGAGGGGCCTACCATCTGAGCAGATACAGCCATGAACACGGGAATCTTTTCCCCTCATCTCCCAAATGAACAGAACTATAGTATATTCCCAGGAGGGGCAGGCCATCAGCATCCCCTCCTCCCTGTTGACAAACTACTCCAGGGGAGAGTGACCATTTGTTGCATGATAGCTCTACCGCAGCCACAGCAGGCCAAGAATACTGGAAACTCAACTCTTGCCCAGCTTGTTTATAGGGCAGAAATTCCATGCTGGGAGAAGTAAGATGGGGTGACAAGAGGCTATCAACCCAGTGCCTTGAGTATTAACCAGGGATGTCATTCTAAGAGACACACATCTCTTCTCCACACAGGAACACCTTCCCACTCCCAATTTGGAAGCAGTGGCATTATAGGAATTTTGCACAGGGTGAGAGGCACGATTTAAAACAAACTCTGTTTCCTCAAGGCAACTGACTATTTGAAACGAGATATGGAAAGTTCAAGTTGCGATCTAAAATAGTGGAAATTCTTGTGGTAGTGATTAAGAGGAAGCTTCTCATTCCATAAAGACCAGCTAAACTGTAGACTAGTTAGAAGCTTATCAGAAAATTAGAGAAGTACAAGAAGAGTCCCCCAGGGTTCAACCACCGTTAAAGACCAGCCGTGCAAAGGGGTTTGGATTTAATTGGGTAAGACTGGAGTTTCTGTGCCAGGGCACTGTCATAGCAGTGGAGCAGCCAGCCAGCTACTAGTGGAGACTAAGAGCTGGTTGTGATGCCAGTGACAGCAGATAGCTGAATACACAGAGAGCCTTGTTAAAACCAGTAACATTTCAGGCTGTCTATACATGCTGAAGACTTCTTTCTCTGAGGAGTGACATCAGGCGCTTACTCTAGGGGAAAAGAGGAAAATGGGTCAAATAGCCCCATTTATTTAAACCAAGCAAGCAAACAAGAAGCTTGGTAGAGTAGCATTAATTAGTAACTAGGTTTGCTATCTTGTCTAAAATACCAGTTTTCAATAAAAAATATGGAAGTGTGATAAACAGCAAGCATCAGAAACTGCTTTTGAGGACTGGTAAAGTGTCTCAAGTGGTAGAGCGCCTGCCTAATAAGCTTGAGGCTGCAAGTTCAAACCCCAGTGCTGCCAAAAAAAGAAAAACTGCTTTTGAAAAGGCTGAGATGTTAGACTTAGTCAAGAAAGCTTCAAAACCATTGTTCAAAATACTTCCAAAGAAAGAAACCATTCTTAAAAAGTAAATAGTATGCCAGTTCTTAACAAATAGATATATCAGAAAAAGTTTTTTTAAAAGAACAAATGGAATTTCTAGAGTTAAAGTATAACTGAAATGAAAGATACACTAGAGGGACTTCAGCTGATTTGAATGGCAGAAAAAGGATTACTAGTCTTGAAGATAAGAGTATGCAATCTGAAGAAGAGAGAAAAAAGAATGAAGAAAAATTAACAGCATAAAAAAGTCCCATTGAAACCATCAAGTATTCCTAAATATGCCTTTGTAATAGAAGCACCAAAAGAAGAGTCAAGACTAGAAAAAGTACTCAAGTTAAAAATGGCTGGGATGGGGATGTAGTCAGTGGCAGAGCATTTACCATCAAACAGAAAGAAAAAGAATAATGGCTGAAAAACTTCTCAATTCAGTGAAACATTATTCACATATTTATTGAATTTAATAAATCTGGGTAGGATAAATGCAGAGAGATCAATACCCAGACATATTAAAAATGTTGAAAGATAAGGACAAAAGTCTTGAAAGTAGAACAGTAATTCATAGGTAGGAGGGCACTCCAGTAAGAATTACAGACTCTACAGTTACCTGATTAAGCTGAGTGTCTGAATAAATACTTCTTTTTTTTTGGTTTTGTGCTTTTTGGGTGTTTTTTTTTTTTTTGCTTGTTTTTCCATTTTTTGGCTATTTTGCATGTTGAACTCAGAGCATCATACTTTGTTGGGAAGTGCTCTACCACTTGAGCCACTCCACCAGTCCTTTTTCTGTTGGTTGTTTTTGAGATAGGGTCTTGTGTTTATGGCTGGGCCATTCTGGACCTAGATCCAGAATGTGCTTTTTCCACATAGCCGGGATGACAGGCACCCATCACTGGCCCAGCTGTTGGTTGAGATGGAGTCTTGCGAACTTTTTGCCCAGGCTGGCCTCAAACTGCTATCCTCCCATCCTCCGCTTCCCAAGTAGCTAGGATTATAAGTTTCAACCACCACTCCCAGCTGATTTTCTTTTTTTTTTTGAGAGTCTCCCCTGGACCCCAAACCCCAAACATATGCCATTGTTATTGGCTAACTTTGTGTGTTCTTATAACATAAATCGTAACAGAGTATGTATCTAACATTGCAGAAATAATGCATTTTTGTTTACCCTGATTTCAGTAGAAGGCTAAATTATGTGTAATGCTGTATTCTATAACTTTGTGAGTTGAAGTACATGTATATTGAGAATACTACTTAGTTCATTCTAAATCTAGCTGTTCAAGGTGAAAGAACTCTTGAAATATATTAGACATCTATTTTAAGCCTAATAGCACAAGGTAGATCCATTAGCAGAATATTAAGTCAAAAAGGTATTTTTACTGTTCCAAAGCTAATAATTCAAGTGCTAGCAACATGAAGCCCTGAGTGCAAATCCCAATACCGCAAAGGAAAAAAAAATAGCATCTTGCTTATGGAAAGGAAAGGAAGAATAATTAATGCTTCTTTGTTCATGAGTCTCTGTGACCCCACTTTATATCTGGTCTTCACAGAACAGTGATGCTTAGCAATAGTTTGTTATCACAGGAAGGGTTGCTGGATAAGTTCTCTCAGAAATAGAGCAAATGTATTCCTGACATGTGGAGGTATTGCCAAGTCCCAGTCATGATAGAAAATAGCATGAGTTTGGAGGGCATTACATTTTTTCCCCTCCCCTCCTCCCTCCCCTCCCCTCCCCTCCCTCCCCTCCCCTCATTTATTTATTTTTGTGGTACTGGGCATCGAACCCAGGGCTTTGTGCATGCTAGGCAAACACTTAACCACTGAGTTACATCCCCAGCCCACTGGGAGGCATTACAACTAGCAAATTGAGAGCTATACAGAAGATGCCCTGATGTCTCTATATTGTTCTTTCTAGTTGAAAAGAAGATAATGCTAACGCATACTCGCTTAAATTCACTAATGAAGATTCTGAAAGAAAAGATCTCCGACCAGATCAATACAGAAAACTGATTGAGAACCAAGTTGTAAGTACCAGTTCAGGATGTTTTTGGTGTCTTCCAACAAACAGTTGCTATTTGGTCATATCTGGAAAATAAAAAAAGGTAAAAGAAAAAAAACTGACTAAGAATGGGGAGCTGGTGCAGTGGTACCTGCTTGTCATCCCCAGCTACTTAGGAAAACACAAATAGGAAATCTCTGTCCAGGCCAGCCTGGCGTAAAGTGAGACCCTATTTCAAAAATAACCAGCACAAAG